TATTATTGCAAAAGGAGATGGATGTTGATGAAATTTATGGAAAAGACAGTCAGTGCAAAGATCAACATATGTGCCAAAGGCTAATTCGATTGACCGTGATATTGTTGTTCCAGGTATTTGTTAATTAATTTCGATCGTTTTTTGTAATTAATTGTTTAATTAAATGTTAATTTTAGAAGTTAATATCGTAGATATAGGTTCTATTTGATCAAAAGAAACGTATCGAGAAAGAAAAATTTCAAAAAGTTGAGATTAAGTTATAATTAACAAAATAGAATGTGCAAAACTACTTAATTCCAACTTTTTGAATTTTTTTGATACGCTCTAGATCTCTGTTAAATTGGGTTGTTTGCAATTACCCTGATATCAGGTTGGCCATTAATATCCAGTCACGATTCCATTTTGATCAACCACTACAACGCGAAAACAATAACTCGTGTTACCTTCTAATAAGCGCGCGCGCGCACAGGTTGAGTATAATAATAATAATAATAATAATACATTTATTTTCCATTTATAGATACAAAGTAAAATTAAAACATATAATTAGTTCTACTGGTATTGAAATAGTAGGAAAACCTCTAGGCTGTGCTCAAGCAGATAGAGCAAGCTTCACCTCTCGATGTGATGCACTTACCTAGTATATCAGATAGATATTTACAGTAAAGTATAGCCTAATGTAAGTAATTAACTAACTAATTAAAATATTGAAACAGTAGTAGCCAAGAGAACAGAGGGAAAAAAACAACAATTAAGAAAAACAATTTGGCAATGTAAGATAACCTAAAATTAGCAAAAATATAGTTGCTTACTGATTACTAAATAAGTATTCTGAAACTTTGGTTTTAAAATTCTTTGAAGACAATCTTTTAAAGTCATCTGGCAGTGCGTTGTAAAGTTTTGAGAAGGTATACAGTATAGGAAAGTACCGATGGTCTATCAGAAGTTACGTGAGAGCGATAAAGTAAGCCATAGAAATCCATGTGATAGACAAGGATGGCTATAATGAAGGCGTTTAATAGTCAACGCCCATTTCGCCTTTCCACAAATAAGAAGTGGATCTTATTTGTGGGAGAGCGAAACGAGCGGTGACTATGACACGCCTTCATTATAGCCATCCCTCTCTATCGCATGGATTGGAATACTTATTTAGTAATCAGTAAGCAACTATATTTTTGCTAATTTTAGGTTATCTTACATTGCCAAATTGTTTTTCTTATTTGTTGTTTTTTTCCCTCTGTTCTCTTGGCTACTACTGTTTCAATATTTTAATTAGTTAGTTAATTACTTACATTAGGCTATACTTTACTGTAAATAAATGATCGTTCGTAGGAACTGGTTTTATGTGAAGGTGGTGTTATAAAATGCTTAGGTATTTCTAATGTTTATATTATGTACATCAGTACGAAAGCGAATTTTGTTATACAGATATGAAGGAGTTTTTGTACAAATTATTTGATGATATAGACTCAAAGTTTGTAATCTCAGACGATTGTTCATATTTAACCATTTCAAATCCTGTAATTTATGAGAAATGTGATCTCTGCGTCGAATGCCAAATATGTACCTTAGACATGAATTCTGACACATCTGTATTCTGTTTTTGGTTAAGATATGAATATATGGATAATAAACAGGAGCACAGTATGAAAAATTTGACAAGATAAGGGTTTCCCAAAGTAGCGTTTTTATTCTTACAGAATTTCTGTGTGGATAGAGCAGTTTCAAAGCCATGTATGATCTTTGTATATACTTACTAATTTGTGAACAAAATCTAAATGTATTGTCAAAAGTCAGACCCAAGTTAGAAGCACTCTGAACTATAGGAACAAAAGTGTCATTTATCACAACCTTAAAATTATCGGAGATTTCGGATATCGCTAATTTATTACCAAACAAAATTAACTTTGATTTGGATGGATTCAAAAATAAGAAATGTTCTTCTGATATTTGAGAGATAATTTTAAGATCTGAATTAATTCTATTCAATGCCTCATTACAGTTGGTTTTATCGAAAGATAAATGCAATTGTGTCAGCATACATGTGCGGATTACAATATTTCAAGCTTTTGCAGAGATTACTGGATATACACAAAATAATAGGGGTCCTAGAATAGATCCTTGAGGGACACCTACTTTAAGCAACACAATTTGACAATGCATTTCCAATTTTTACTCTTTGTGTACGATTTCCTATGTAGCTAGATATTAAACTAACTGCACTTTCACCTAATCCAATAAAATGAAATATTGCAATAAGCAATTGATGTTGAATCGTATCCAATGCTTTGGTAAAGTCTAATAGTACTAGAGCACTAATTTTGCCATTATCAAATGCTTCACAAATATCATCTGTCACTTTCAGTAAGGCAGTTGTACAGCTGTGAGCTCGCCTAAATCCAGAATGAATTGGTGGAATAATCTCATGCTTGTTTAAATGGTCTATTAATTGTGTATATATTACCCGTTCCAAAATTTTCGATAAAGTAGGTAAAATACTTATAGGACGCAAGTGAGATAGTGTTAAAGGATTAGTAATTTTTGGAATAGGTATGACATGGGCTTGTTTCCATTGGACAGATATAGTGTGGTGTAACAGACAACTATTTACTATATGGGTAATGTACGGAACAATAAAGGGACAGCAGTATTTCAACATCGTCAGGTTTATATCATCTGGACCCATGGCATTTGTTTTAATAAAACATAAAATTTTAGAAACGGTATTTACGTCCACTAATAAGAATTCAAAATTTGCAGGGATATTATTATATGTATTATTTTCATAATAATTTATTAAACGACCATTATCATAATTTGAAACTGGTATACTATTGATAAAATGATTATTTATAATATTAGGATTTCTGAGATGAATTGGTAAATTACTATCTTTAAGTTGTTTTAAGTTTAAAGATTTTAAGCCATTCCAAATATCCTTAGGATCATTTGTTCTAAAATATGCTCGCTTTTCATTTTTAATTGCAATCTCAGTGTAATTTCTTAGTTAATTATAATAGTTCCAATGTGCATCCAATTTAGATTTTCTGAATCTTGATTTAGCTTTATTTCTAAGAGAGATTAATAATCTAATGTTATCAGTCATCCATGGCTTACGTTGCCTTGAAATTTTTGCAGTTTTGTAAGGTGCATGTATATTAAATAAGTTAGTCAAGCAATCATTGAAATAACAAACCTTGCGCTCTACATCTCAATATAAAACAAATTATGCAGTGGTAAATTATTTAAGTCATTAGTAAACTGTTCAACATTAAACCCACTAAAATCACGATAAGTAACATAAAATGGCAATCTTTTCAAATCTGACTTTAATTCACAAAAAACTAGTTCATGGTCAGCTACATATATTTCCAAATTTCCTGACCTAAGCACAATTGAACTATTTGAAGTTACTATTAAGTCTAGTAGTGTCTTGGAATCTTTCGTGATTCGAGTAGGTTGAGTTATAATCTGTACTAACCCTAGCATCTCAAGAAACGAGTTAAAATTTATTACAGCTGTCAACAGAAAGCAAATCTATATTTAAATCGCCTAAAATGAAAATGTTCTCACACTCAGGAATACAATGACTTACATATTTCTCTAAACTAGACAGAAAAAAATTATAATCTACCCTGCGAGGCCTATAAACTACGCCATATATGTTTTTACTAGTTTGTGTCTTAACTGAAATCCACAACTGTTCAATGTCATTACATAGTTCTACTACTTTATAATTCAATTTATTTGAAACATAAAAACATACACCCCCAGCTCTGCCAACACGATCCCTCCTAACAATGTTATAATTTTCAATATTAACTATCAAGTCACTAATACAAGAGGACAACCAAGTCTCAGAAATTGCCAAAATATTATAATTTTTATCTAATAAAAAATCTCGTATTTTATTTATTTTCGGTATAAGATATTGCACATTTATGTGCCCTATAGTTATATTATTTTTAATCATTATTAAGTAACTAATTTATTTTACAAAATGTTTAATCAAATTATATACTAAAGATAAAACTACAATACAATCAGAAAAAGAAAAAAGAATATCATTAGGTGAGTTCACAGCAATCGGTAAACTTTAGTAAACAATAATTACTTGACGTTATCCAGCTCCATCAAATTAGTAAATTTATGTATTTTATTATTCACTTTGCATAGAATTTTACCTTCAGAACACCATACACTTTTTGGGCCAAATTTCTCGCATGCTTTTTTGTAGACAGCAAACCTTTTACTAGTTAAGTCTTCTTTAATTACTATAGTACTACCCTTTAGATAACTTTTCCGTTTTACAATTTTTTGTTTGACCTGGTTTCTACAAAATCTCACCATTACAAGCCTATTTTTGCCTTCTTTACTACTAAGTCTATAACAGAAATCGATGTCACTTTCATTAATTTCAGTATTGAGTTTCTGCTGAAACAGAGTTGTTATCTTAATATTTAGATTTTCACCCTTCTCCTCTGGTAAACCATAAATTCTTAAGTTGTTTTGTCGTGAGAACTGTTCGTTCCTGGTTATCGATAAACTTAGCAGCATCCATAATCTTTGACTCAAGTTGTTCAACCTTTTCACTGTACACCTTGATGGTGGGTTCTATACTCGCAGTTACAGATTGAGAAATTTTATCCATTAATTTAGATAGAAACCTATCTGATCCCAATATCTTCTCAATGGCCCTTTGAATCAGCTTTTCCTCATCATCAATAGTTTTAGTACTTGTCGTTTTAGGGGCATCTGCCATCATGAATAATAATAAATTCAAGTGATTACTTTGAATATTTACTTGTTTAGCTGGAACCACACCGGAATATGGCTACTCTGCTCGACTACACATACTATATATATTGGAACACTATGCAAACCGAACGGCACTTTAAAATTTTCATGACATGAGCACTTCAGTTTAAGTTAATTGTGCACAATATTGAACAAAACAGTATCAGTAATGCCGAAATGGTACCAACTTACCAATTTTTGCATTATTTCTTTTTTCTTATTCCCATTCCTACTTTTAAAGTAGTTCTATTCATATTCTTAAAGTAGTTAACAATTTGACGATGACCTTTGTAGCGAGCAAGCTGCAGTGGCGTGCGACCATCTTTATTTCTAATTCTCAAATCTCCACCTACTTTAAGAAGGAATTTTATTGCGCCCAGATTACCAGATACGGTAGCAAGATGCAGTGGCGTGCTCTCGTCATTATCTCTAACATTTAAATCTGTGCCCAGTCCGTGAAGGAATTTGACTGTGTCCAAGTGACTAGCCCAGGCAGCTAGATGCAAAGGCGTGCGGGCGTTGAGGTCCCTGATATTGACGTCACCGACGAGATTCACTAGAAATTTGACGACAACCAATTGACCCCTCGCAACAGCCAAATGCAGTAGCGTGCTGTCTTCATTATCTCTAACATTTAAATCAGTGCCCAGTCCGTGAAGAAATTCGACGGTGTCCAAGTGACCAGCCCAGGCAATTGACCATCCCCAGCTGCTAAATGCAGCGGCGTGCGGCCCTTGTCGTCTTTGATGCTGACATCAAAGTTGAGTTTGACAAAAAACTCGACGGTGTCCAAATGTCCCTCTCTGGCAGCAAAGATGCAGTGGCGTCCTGCCGTCGTAATCTCGAATATTTAAATTTGCCCCCAGTTCGTGAAGGATTTTGATTGCGTCTAAGCGTCCAAAAAAAGCAGTTAAATGCGATGCCGTGTTGTCTTCATAATTTGTAACACTGAGGTCCGCGCCCAGTTCAAACAGGAATTTAACTATGTCTGAGAAACCGTAAATGGCAGCTAGACGCAGGGGCGTGCGTTGGTAGTTATTTTCAACATCGAAGTCCGCACCCAGTTCAAGAAGGTACTTGACCGTGTCCAAGTGATGACCCGAGACAGCAGAATGCAGTGCCGTGCCGCCATCGAAGTCTGTTACATTTAAATCTGCGCCAAGTCGATGAAGAAGTTTCACTGTGTCCAGGTGACCTTTCGCGGCGGCAAAATGCAGCGCCGTGCGGCGGTCCACGTTTTGGATATCGATATCGTGGTTGGATTTTACGAGATATTCGACAATGTCCAAATGACCGTCGCTCGCAGCGCAGTGCAGTGCCGTACATCCCATGTAACCTGCACTGTTGATGTCTGCTCCTTGCTCGGTTAGAAACCTCACCATTTCAAAGTGACCACCGTCAGCGGCATAGTACAGTAGCGTGCTCCCAAATCTGTCCCTGATGTTGATTCCAGCCTCTTGAGTAATAATCCTCGTAAATAATAGTACATTTTCCTTTCTCTCTATTTTGTTAACTCGAATTTTTCGTAAAAGGGCTTGGGAAACGCTTCTATTGTTATCGAAATCGTAACTTGTCAAATCTTCGATGTTAATTTCTTTGCCTCTGACAATCTTGAAATTTACGCATTTGAGGACGAGTTGCAGAATTGCGATACAACCCTCTTCCGCTAATAAATGAATAAATCTATGGTCATCCATCCAACAGCATTGGTCACAAGTATGGGATTCATATTTCTCGAGAATATTTGCGGGTTCAGAATCCACGACTCTATTTAGAAAATTGTCAAGGAAGCCGCGGATAATTACATTTTCAGGGAGTTGTAAAACTTTACCTACGAAAAACTCTTGAAACTTTATATCTGGACTGTGTAACTGAGCTTGCAATTCGTGGACTAGACTTTCCGCAACAAAATATTCAGCGAAAGTCCTGTGAATAAACTGAGGTTCGTCGTTTGTTCTCTGCACGATTCCTATTTTCAGTACGCTCTCGTTTATATCCTTACAACTTTGTTGATAACACGAGAAAAGCCGACGATCTTTATGTAAAATCACTTCTAAAGCGAGTCTTCTGTGGTACTTATGGGATTCATCGAAATGATCAATTAACGCCATATTTGGCGCCGAATTTCCGCTGGGATTTCCTTTGTATATGTAGATGTCTCTTTTTTTCTCAATAAACATGTCGTACAACTCTTTAATTTCCATTTTTTCGGACAGTTTCGGTTTTTCCCTAGTTTCCTTTAAGAACTCCTTGCATTCTTCCCAATCGGATGACTTATTCTGTTTTATGCTTTCCTGGAAAATCTCCGCAAGCATTTTCAGTTGCAGAGGGATCGCAGTAAAGTCGTCTTTCACGTAATATCCCTTTGTCCACGAGGACACCCTACTTATCAATGCTCTGGCGTATCGCTCGCACTTCCTCTACTATCATTATTTATAGCTAGATTATAAACCCAATAACTAATAAGGAAGTCGACCTAGTCCTGTTCCGTGAAGGGTTGCATCACGAATGGCTTCACTTTCAAAATGGCTTCCAATTCTTGGACCATGTGAGGTCTTATAGTATTGAAAAGTTTTGCGAAATTAACTGCTTGTATACACTGGGTCAGCATGCTAAGGACGAGTCCCGTATAGTCGGGGCTGATCTCGTCTATCCCGTCGAGCATAAGCACGACATTCTTGCTCGAGGAGAACACAAACTTTTCTAAGTGGTTCGTCATTTTCGTCGCATTTTTAGAATTCAACAGCTCCATTACACTTATGGTTTCCCGTCGATTAGCTATCACGTCCCTTAAGAAGCTAGAGTACCTAGTGAGTTCAATTTTGATCACCCACAAGTGAGGATTCTTTTCTTTTATAGCCGTTGCCATTTTGGTATGGACAGTGCTCTTCCCAGTTCCTGCACCGTCCGAGATAAGTATCACCTCTTGGTTTACGTCATAAGTGCTCATATCTGGAAAAGTCCCTTCTTTCACCTTATTAATAGTACGTCCATATTCATTTAAATGTGGTTTTGCCTGTTGCAATTCGCAAGTGCCTTGTCCAACTATACTCTTAAATATTTGTGTTTTAAAGGTGCGAGCTATATAATATCGAGAGTTGCTTTCGTCTAAATATGAAAGTCGTTCGCCCACTTTTATTTCTTTCTTTCTAATTAGCATTTCTAGAATTTCAGAATTTATAGCCTTCCTCCAATCCTCATTTGTTTGTGTTTCCAATAGTTCTTCCAAGCTGATCTGCTCTCCTTGAAAAATTATGTTGTTCTGATCTACTAACCTGTCCTGGCATTCATCTGAAAGATTTTTTAATGTCACTAATCCACCAACTTGAAAAATATCGTTTAGTCCGAATTGCCGACATAGTTTATTGTTGTGTTCGGCAACCAAAATGACTTTCTTATAGCTGTATTTCTTTAGTATATCTTTCAATGTACTACTTATTTCCTTTATTGCCGTGTCTTGAGTAAATTTGACTCCAATTATAATTCAAAAGGTGTAGCAGGGAAGTCCGAATGCATTTATGACGTGTTTTTGCACCTCAATGTCATTGTCAGGATTAACATACAATTTTTTGCTTTTATCTTTTTGTAGTGAATCGTAAACCTTCAAAGCCTGCAACAGATGTCTTCGTTCCGAATTGACTTGGAAAATTCTTTCCGGATCAGCGAAATTAAAACTATTTTGTCTAAACGACACGTTGTAGTTTTTCAATTCTTCGCAGTACTTGTCACTTTTTATTTCGCTAAACATTTAATAAATTCGACTGGGGCCGTTGTTTATAAAACAACGATAAGAAGTGAAGGCCAAGGCGCGGAAATTTGGACTGAAAGGCAGGGACACGGGAGAGAGAGAATGACCACAGACGACTGACGAGGTGTTGTGTTAAGATAATTTGGTCATTATTAAATTGTTTTATTATAAAATAAAGTTATTTTGTGAAAAACTGTACAATATATATACAGGGTGTCCCAGTATCAGCGTACAAAAATATCAATTTTTTTGTTTAAATGCATAAATTATTTGTCTAAAATCTTTTTGCATCAATTAATAGTATTGTTTTAATAAAATGAGATTATTACTGGTATTAAACTGAAATATACAACTTTTAATATACAATTGAAAATAGATGCTTTTATTTAAAGCTTCGTGTGTAGTAGGTATTTATCTAGTGGGGATACTGCCGTGGAACAGTTTGATTAGCCACCGGCTCGGGTTGAATTGTCACTCCGCCATCGGCTGTGGCGCATCGGACTGAGCCGCGCCACGCCAAGTAATTATCTCGTCGCCAGACGGGTGTTGAAATAACAAAAATCACTGTAAAAAATGATATATTAATCAACGAGAAGCAAGTTCACAATTACACGTTAAATTTCACACTAAATGGAATAAGCGAAGTAGTTCTCTTATATAATAAAATAAAGCATTCTCAGCAAAAGATAACGATTCTGAAAAATAAAATGTGAACATAAAAATAATACATATATAATTCCTCCCGTTGTAGAGGGAGCTACAGGGGATGGAGCGACCAGGGGGCTATAGTCAGTCCTTTCGGGGTTGAGTCATCTGGGATGGCGAAGTCCTCATCTGACACCTATTCTCAGGGGTGCTTCTTGTAGATGCTCAACACGCGGTAGGTAAAAAGGAGTCAGCAGAGAGTCATTGCTCCTGGTGTGGTGACTTGGAGATCATCGATTCCAGTCATTAAATTACTTATATTTTTCCAGACGTTTCTGGGGTTTCTTTATTGGAGTCATTCGACTTCGAACTTCTTGTGAAGATTTTAGGGGTTAATATTTTAATAACTGAGGCTCTCTTCTTAAAAATGTAGTATATTATTATTATTAAAATTATACCCAAGACAATATATATGAGATAATGTGGTTTCCGATTATATTCTGGACCAAACAGTTCTAGAGGTTGGATTTTAAATTTGGATATACTCTCCGCTAAACTACTCAATTCATCTAGCCGTATATTTTCCAAATTAATTTGATATCTACTACTATTAAGAAGTAGATTAATTCGTGGTAGTACTTGGTTTATAGAGTTTCCTTGAATCTGGGATGTGGTGCAATCGACTGATTTTATTTGTTGTATTAGTGAATTGATACAATTCTCTCTGAAGTTGATGTTGTTGCACAGGTATAACCCTGGGATTTGTGTATATTATTCTTTTTTATTGAGGATTTCTTGTTTGTTCTTAAGTAAGTAGGTTGAAATGGGAATGACTAAACTTTGATTAAGGGGTATAGGTAAAACTTGGAAATAGTCATAGGTTTGTATTTGGAATATGGGAAAGTTGATATATACTTTATAATGTTGAGTATGTGTTTTGATAGAGGCTAATTTATAGTAGTCACTCAGTGAAGCTTTAATTATAGATTCTTTAGGATAAATTTGTTCTAAAGTTTTAAAAACTAACTGTACGTGTTCAAAATTCAGTACATTATGAGAAATAATTTTTAAATGTGAAAATAGAATAATTTCTTGTATATCTTCTAACTGATTAATAATTTCTAATAGGTAGTTCAATTTCGATGCTTTTAACTTGGAGAGCATATAGAGTATTATGTAGTTTTTTAGCTAGTTGGTTAACATTTTGATCCAAAGAGTGTAAAATATTTAATTTTGACGATATGGTAGCTAGATAACTCAACTGTTTCTTTTGTTGCGTTTGAAAGTTAAATCGATTACTTTCTAAGATTTTAAATTTTTTCTCTATCTGTTCTCTATCTTCATTGTCCATGAGGCCAAAAAGTTCATTATATCCTGTGCCGATAAAGTTTAGTATTCCTCGTTTTTTGCGAGTTACATAGAAAAGGGTTGATAATTTATTGTTAATGTTTTTTATTAAAGGCTCGAATTGTGTAATAGATTGGTTCCCTTGAGTTTGTATTTCTCGAGAAAAATTTTTAATTATGTTTGATAAATTTTGGAATTATCTGTACGAAATTATGTGAATGTGTGCTAACTTTTGCTTTTCCTAGATTAATGGGGAGTATAGGATTTTGTAATTCAATTATTTCGGAATAACTGTGCCAGAGAAATATTATCATCACTATCAGTGAATTCTTCATCCTGCAACAGAGGAGAAGTATGTGAGGTTTTTGATTTTTTAACATGTTTTTTTTTTAATTTTTCCCTGTTTTGTTTGAATGGTTGGACCGTTATCATTTATGGCTATGGCTTTTTTGAATTTGGGTTTTGTCTTTTGTCTGTTTGCTAGATTATCTTTTATCAGTACATTTTGCAAAATTTTAAACTTTTCTGGTTCGGTTTTATTTTTGTTTACTCTGTCTAACGTTTTTTTGTTTAGTTACTTCAATTTTATTTTGTACGTCTTCATATAATTTGGAATAAATTTGTTTCTGTTTTTCTATGAAATGTAATTACTTTTTCGACTATTTCTATGTTTTGGGGAGATCCTAATATTATTTCAAGGGAGTTCTTTGAGTTGCTGAGTGTTTAGAATCATTATATCCAATGGTTGCTAATTTAATTAAGGTTTCCTGATTTAATGTAGGGTTGTCTAACTTTAGGGCTCTGATAGAGTCTAGGATTGTTGAATGAAAACGTTCGACAGGGCTGTTAGAATTTGAGTTACCAATACTAGTGAAATGTAAATTTATTTTATGCAGCTGGCAGAATTCCGTAAATATTTTATTGTTAAATTCACTACCTTGATCACAAATTATTTTAGCTGTTTTTCCGTAGTGAGAGATGTAGTTAAGGATAGTATTAGTCGTTGTTATGGCATTTCTACTAGGGATAGGATATGCTTGTCCTAATTTTGAAAAAGCGTGTGGGTGTCTGTCATATTTAGCACGATTACATGTTTCGTAGTTATTAACATAGGTGGTTATAGCTCCTTTATGTTAGGCCAGTAATGAGTTTTTGACAAGGAGTTATAAATGGTATCAATACTTCTATGTACTGTATTTACTTCATGTTGTTTCATTATTAATCTAATTTGGGACTCTAATTTTTCTACGTCTTAAGTTTTTAATGTTGAAATTCTGAATTTAATTGTATTATTAAAGAATTTTGGTATCAGTTCGAAACATTGTCTTACTTTTTGATCATAAAAATATAGGCAATTTATTTCTTTTGGGTTTAAAAAGTTTCGTAATGTTTTTGCTTTACTTTACTTGCTTTTTTTTAAACAGCGGGTGAGTGGTTTCGTTATTTTTGCAAAGTTGTTTATAAATTTACGATAAAAGCCTACCAATCCGAGAAATGATTGAATGTCTTTAGCTGTTTTAGGAACTGGAAAATTTTGAATTAATTTTATTTTATCCGGGTTTGGTTTTATTCATG